GTATATCGCTCAATAATGCACTCTTTTTAACCAATGAAAACCGTCGTTACATCACAGACGTGGTAGAATATCTCGTATTTACTCAAACGACAAGATGATGATATCAAAGGCAATTGCCAAGCGAACTCGTTTACATACAACAAATTTTGGGAAAATAATATTATCAATAAAAAGTATCTTTCAATATAGTCGCTCTAACCAAACGAGTTACTAGGTCAGCGCTAGCTACCAGACATAGTCCAAATACAATTATATCCAAACCGAAATTTGAACGGGAGTGAACTTTATATTTGAAAAACTACATCGAATTTCTTCAATGGTTTGTCTGCAATGGAACACGATTCTTACGCACGGACGTAGACAGAGCGGTGTGGTTTTAAATTTTCCTATTTTAAAAACAACATGTATACAGTACAGTACAACAGAAGTTCGGGATAACATAATAACCCTCACTGATGTATGTCATGACGGCATTTATTAGTAAAACATGATCTCATGATTAACGTTAACAATGTCGACAAAGTGTAAAGTATTATTTCACAAAAGTTTTTCATATCTTTATTATATTATATGATACATTTAAACATCTTTAATATCATCCATCAAAAATATTAGATTATACATTTCACTAAATCTTATACGTTTTAGTGTATGTATAATACTGAATTGGCACCTCATCACCTTGTAAGCTGTTGTACATTTATGAATGTACACATATAGGTACATCAATAAACTTAATATACATGTCTCACGTAAAGAAACTGTTTTAGCCACATGTTTGTGAAGTGACTTTATAAGTATATGTAATAGAATGTTTTGCAAAGGTCTATCTAATGGACCATTCCTCTTGTATTTAATTTAATCATCTATGCATGAAATAAACAAACACAACAACACGTAAATATACATTAACAAAATGATACAAAAAATACACAGTAGAACAAGAAAACACTTCGCGTCAACAAACCACAAAATGGCAGAGGTGGGACCATGTGTTTCGGAAGGGTAAACGTTTCCATCGCGATATTTTGCTTTATTGACGGAATGCTGACCTTTTTACGAGCACTTCGGTAAAAGGTCAGGAGATAATGACATAAACTCACAACTACAAATGTCTTTTGTCCTCCCTCTTTCTGCTTTCCTTATCTCATTGTTTCTACTATATGGTCGGGTAAAGTTAATTCACTGCTGTCCATTATGTATGATACAATATGATGTATTAAGGAGAGGGCGTTACTAAGTTAACAAAACTTGTGCTCAATCTTAATTGTCCTTATTTACCACAATAAAAAATATGTGAAACTAAATTACAAATGTTACTCTAAACTTCTGCAATAAATGCAACATAGAACCAATGGTTTGATGTGATGACATAATACACATCTTACAACATTTTGCTATTTCGTGTTTGCAAGCCATCTTGAATTATTATTATTTATTTATTGTTCTTAAACCGAGAGTGTTTCGTGATCATGTCGACAATCTTTTCCTCACAACCTATACCCATAAATATGAAACAGTGTCTACACATCTTCTTCTTATGACAGATGTTGACAAAACCCAAATTTTCTACACAGGCAACAATGTCATAGCCTCGTTGGTTGCGCAGTAATGACGCCTGGCTGTCTACGATCACTAACCCTCCACCACTTGTCGCGGGTTCGATACCTACTCGGGGCATTCACCAGTTACTGGTCGGTGGTTTCTCTCCGGGCACACCGATTTACCTCCAACACAAAACCTGACACGTCCCTATAGTACTACATAACTACGCTTTCGTGGTACAGAATAAAACACATGGCAATATATGAATGGACATCTTCATCAGACGCTATTATGTGAAATTAGCATAGAAACTATGGAAACCGTCCATCACCTAGACAACAGTTACTAACTATTCAGCCCGTACTTAACGTCAAAAGCATATCCAATTATGACTAAAATCGTGAGATAAACTCAACAAAACTGCGATAAAATATCAAAAAGGAAGGATTGAAATTCAGATCCTTAAACAAACACAAAAGGGGAAAATGGCAGATAATCCAATATTTCTCTTTATAGAAGTAGAATCGAATAAGATATATGCCAACTGTTCAAGCCATGAGGAAATGCTATATCTGAAAATTGATAATAATAACAGCTAGAGTCTTCAGCAGATTTCAAACTAACGAGAATATATCAAAAGCACTAGCAAACAAAATAAAAGGAACCTAAGGCATCTCACTAAATCTCGAAAAATCTCGAAGTAAGTGTTTACTACACCACATATGGCACGCGTTGTAACTCTCAGTACACCAGGAAAGTATATTATCATTACCACCTTTAGACACAGTATTTTAGTTTATTTTCATTATATTCTTGAGGGAGAGGGAAAGAAGTAAGTTATAGTCTAGGCTACATTAAAGTTCTATATTTATATGAGGGGTGATCGCAATATTGCCAAAATGTAACGGAACGGGGAACAATGAATAGGGCTAGAAGTATACTTCATTTTTCTAATTCTATGCTCATATTTATGTATTATTTGAAATCACTTTAATTTAGATTAAAAAGGGGAACATTATTTTAAAACACGTCGTATATAACGTCATAGTCACGATCGTTAATTGTTCAGCGACTCGGGCTCCGAGTCCAATACAATTGCCGAAAGGGTGAATTTAGTACGGTACAATCTGTATTAAGAGCCTAGCATCTTAATACATGTTACGCGCACAATGAAATCGCTATAAGGCGGTATAACAAGTTGTCTTTTAACACAGTTATAAAGGTGGTCACATGTGCAGGTTTGACAGCACTAGAAACATAGAAATTATACACAACAATGACGATGTCGATAACTAGAATAACCAACAGTAACAGAAGCATCTTATCAGGGTTATAGATATAAACTTAGAGAAGTTATACACAACAATGACGATGTCAATAACTAGATTAATCAAAAGTAACAGGCGCATCTTATCAGGGTTATAGATATAAACTTAGAGAATTTATACACAACAATGACGATGTCAATAACTAGATTAATCAAAAGTAACAGGCGCATCTACACAGGGTTATAGATATAAACTTAGAGAAGTTATACACAACAATGACGATGTCAATAACTAGAATAATCAAAAGTAACAGGCGCATCTACACAGGGTTATAGATATAAACTTAGAGAAGTTATACAAAACAATGACGATGTCGATAACTAGAATGATCAGCAGTAACAGAAGCATATTATCAAGGTTATAGATATAAACTGAGAGAAGTTATACACAACAATGAAAATGTCGATAACTAGAATAATCAACAGAAACAGTACCATATTATCAAGGTTATAGATATAAACGTAGACAAGTTTTACACAACAATGACGATGTCGATAACTAGAATTATCAGCAGTAACAGAAGCATATTATCAAGGTTATAGAGATAAACGTAGAGAAGTTATACACAACAATGACGATGTCGATAACTAGAATGATCAGCAGTAAAAGAAGCATATTATCAAGGTTATAGATATAAACTTAGAGAAGTTATACAAAACAATGACGATGTCGATAACTAGAATGATCAGCAGTAACAGAAGCATATTATAAAGGTTATAGATATAAACGTAGAGAAGTTATACACAACAATGACGATGTCGAGAACTAGAATGATCAGCAGTAACAGAAGCATATTATAAAGGTTATAGATATAAACGTAGAGAAGTTATACACAACAATGACGATGTCGAGAACTAGAATGATCAGCAGTAACAGAAGCATATTATCAAGGTTATAGATATAAACTTAGAGAAGTTATACACAACAATGAAAATGTCGATAACTAGAATAATCAACAGTAACAGTACCATATTATCAAGGTTATAGATATAAACGTAGAGAGGTTATACACAACAATGACGATGTCGATAACTAGAATGATCAGCAGTAACAGAAGCATATTATCAAGGTTATAGATATAAACTTAGAGAAGTTATACACAACAATGACGATGTCGATAACTAGAATAATCAACAGTAACAGTACCATATTATCAAGGTTATAGATATAAACGTATAGAAGTTAATTTAATTGGTATGTAGACTCGACTCTAACTGGACTGTAAATGACGTTAACATACATTAAAAGTGAATACCATAAGACAATTATCAAAATGACTGTTCTTTAATATATTAATGTTATTATACTAGCAGCTAATAGGTATGGTTTCATAACAGTAGCAGATCGATATCATGGATTTACAATAACATATTGGTATGGGTTTATAACAGTAGCATATTGGTATGGTGTTATAACAGTAGCATATTTATGTCATTGATCAATAGTAGCATATCTGTATGCTTTTATGGAAGCATGTTGGTATGTTTTTAAGTAGCAGCATATTAGTATTGTATTAGTACAGAAGCATATTGGTATGGTTTATAACAATAGCATATTGGTATGGTTTATAACAATAGCATATTGTTATGGTTTATAACAGTATTTTGGAAGTGTTTATAACAGTAACATATTTGTATGGTTTTATATATAATGAACTCAAGTCCTGGTATTTACTTTCCTTGTAGACTTAGTAATTAATAAGTGATGTATTAGAGCAGTCAAGGTAGATATCACAATGGCATTATTATTAAATAAACTAATATAACAATAGCATGTTTGTATGAACTCAAGCACTAGTAGTTACTTTTCTGGTAGACTTTGTCCTTGACATGTTAGTAATGTACACTTAAAAGTAAATATGATTAATAAATTAATAGGTAAGAGCAGCATAGGTTTATATAAAATGGCGATGATGCTTAATAATATAAGATATAACAGTAGCATATTGCCATGGTTATACATATAACCCCAATGTCCGAGTTTTATTGTAGTACTAAATAAAATGTGAATGATGCTTATGTTACAAATACATATAATAACAGGAAGTATAGGTAAATATATAAAAAATACAAAGTGTTTTTTGTTAAACAGACTATTTAAAGTTGAATCCTCATATATAAAATGTAATAATAATAAAGTTAAAGTAAAATCTCAGGATGACTTCATTGTGAGTTATGATGTTTATATATGTAAAAGCATTGCCTTTTGATGAAATACAAAATATCACTGTATATTTGGATATGACTATAGGATGAAATAAATAACAAGGATTGGAGGTATGTATTATTGCAGCCCATCGATATATTGCACCAAAATTACTTTTGAACATTACACTATTTCACTTCTATACAACAAGTTAAAAAAAATCCTTGATATACATTTTTGTGTAATTTTGGTTGTGCCATTGAATATAGTTAATCGAAAAGAGATTATTTGTTGCAACACGAGAGATTGCGAATCCTTTGTTTTCGTAATTTGTTATTGATATGATAACTTTTTTTGTTCAAACTTCCCGTAAAACCGAAAGCGGACATCGATGTATATGTTTATGTATGTCTTCGGGTGTTATATAGAAGGAAAGTGTAAATAGTTCATTAACATAAAAAGACTTACTTCCCTTTATTGAAACTCTTCACTAGTACAGGGGAAGCGACAGGGGAATACCGGAATATCAACCAATCTTACTTGGAACTCAAAAGTGATAAGCTAGTGTAAAAAATAAAAACATGAAAACCATTGCAACGGAAACAACCCCAAGATGGTCCGGAAGGGAAGGCGTCTTTTGCTTCATACACAGCACCTGCCATCTAAACTAAGTAAAATCCAAATAATCTCACGTACACAGGAAATTGTTTTGTGGTCGCCATTATGATAATTATGACGTTTCAGTTTCAAAAACGTCACGTGACTCACTTTCTTCGGCTAAAATTAAAGTAATCGAGAAATGAGTCCTTCCTTCATTAAGACAACTTTGTAAATAATACATGTATCTCTCGAAATATACCCTCGTGCTCGCTTCGGTGGATGTTTATAAAAAGGTGGTCCTAAATAAGTATTTTAATACTACATTTCCACTGTAGGAGAAACTACTTCTCTGTTGTTTTCGTATACAAACCTCTTCATAATTTGATTTTCGATATAACTGAAGCTCGAGTTTGCGGGGAGAATTCAGTTGACCAGGTAGCACAGTTGGTTAAGAATCAGTATTACAATTTGAGGTCCATGGTTCGAATTCTGATAAAGCCGCACTGGATTTTACAGTCAGAAACATCGTTGTTGGTTAATCTTTGTTTACGCTTTTTCACATAAATCCCAAAGGGTATAGTTTGCTTTTCATAAATGATTTTGCAAAGCTTTAGGTGTGCCGGAAATTAAAAAAATCAATGCATAGTTGAGATTTTTTGTCCATGGCACGGGAATCCGTAAGCTGATGGAAAAATAGAAGTGCCTGCCATTGTCATTCGTCGAGTAGAACAACGGTTGCCATGTGACGTCATACACGAGAGGCGATGATATCTTCAGAAGATATTTTCTTAAATGTCCAATAGTGATGTAGGAGGAAGTAGTCATGTTTGCCAACAACGACACCAATACCTGGTCTGGCTGCCAGCTTCTTGTACCGAAAGGGCAAAAACTGTATACTGTGCTTATAGAAGGTGGATGGCCAAGTTATCTTCTGTTTGCGGTTTTGTGTCAGCTGTTCCGTTAAAGACGTTAACTCTTTCAGCTTCTGACAGGCAGACCCAACGGTTTCAACAGCCCTTGTTTTGTCTAATAGATCTCTGTTATTCCGTAAGTAAGCCTCCAGATTATCCAGTTGACCTCTAATGTCAGTATTCGTTGCTGTGTAATAGGATTCAATTTCATTTATAGTACGTTTTTGTTTTATGTTGATCATCTCATGGATTTCTTGCGCACGTGCATTTGCCTTTTCTAGCATTGACTGGTGAGTATCTTCCAGTTTCCCGTGCATGTTTGTCCAATAGGCACGACACTTTTCTAGTTCTTTGATGTGTTGCTCAACGTCCATTCTCAAACGTGAAAGGTCATGTTGAACACTTTCTACAGCTGCACCGAGAGGTGACGTGCGATGTTGTCGATGTTTAGGCGTTTGATAACAATGTTCACATACGGGTGTTTTACAAGGAACGCAAAACCGGGTCATTTTGGAACCCGGATGATCTGGACAATCATCGTCCTCTTTGTGACTGCGAAGTAAATCATGCACTTTTGTATCTCTGATATCGTTTAGGTCCATGGAGACATGCGCAGCGTGAAGTCTACGGTGTTTTTTCTCACATTGTCGACACAAATACCTGGAACATTCTACACAGTAAAATGTGGCCTGAACGACGTCCACATCTTCACACATTTCACAGTGTTCCTGTTCGGGGTCCACTCTTTCTTCGTTGTCATATTTTTTCAACGTCGCCAAACAGTCCATCGCCACATAATTCTTCGGGAAATTTCCCGCATTTCTTCCTTTTGGGAAAAACCGTGTTTTACATAATGGACAAAGGGCTGAGTTAAGTCCCTCGGGGTACCCCAAGTAAACGGTTTGGATGCACACCAAACAAAACGTATGGCCACACTCTAGGATCCTTGGATCTTTCAGTGTATCCCGACATACTCGACACGTCAGGCATTCCATCGTCTCATCGCACCAATCTCCATGGAAGGTAGGGTCATGCCCTCCAACAGCCATCATAAGCTGGATCAAAGGTGAAATCTGAAAAACAAATCAAAACATTTTAAATCAAGTCGATGTAACTATGTTCTATTTCTATGTATTGTTTTCGGTATTTTGAAACATTACAAACATTACATTACTAGATAAGGAGAGTTCGAAACTCGAAAACAGAAGATGTTATTGCTGTAATGATTGTGCAATGACAACGAGGAATATTTTATCGAGAGTTTTAACTGTATAGTGGTAAATATTAAAAGGCCTAAAGGCCAAATAAGTCGTTTCTGTAGACAGCTGTAAAATACAGACAGGGGGTATTTTGTCGACGTTTTACACTTAACTGACAAACGAGGTGTATTTTAACAACGTTTTTCTTTTAAGTGACAAATGGGGGAGGGGATTTTAACGACGTTTCACTGTAACGTAACACACGAGGGGTATTTGAACGATTTAAACTGTTACATGACAAACGAGGGGCATTTAAACTACGTTTTATTGTTAAGTGACAAAAGGAGGAATATGTTAACGTAGTTTTACTGTCAATTGACAAACGAGGGGCATTTAACAACCTTTTACTGCTAAGTGAAAAACGAGGGATTCCAATTAACTGATAAAGCAAATAACAAATAAACAAGCACGTGTTGATCACTTGTTTTTACTTTTCATTTGTCAATTAATGAACGCTCCATTAAACCTGTGACATGGTCATTACGTAGTCATACCACATGCGTTCGAGGCCTTTTGAATGTTCTTAACCTGTGTGCTGAGTAATCATTCGGGGCGCTTTAACTAACAACAAGTTTTGATGAAATGCGGAGTTAAAACGCAACAAGATCCGGACACAAGTACTTAATCACGTAGTGGTAGTGTCAAAATACTTAATCGAAATATTAAAAGCCTTGTTATATTGATACCAGATTAAAACAATAAAATGTATATCTTTACTTTTTTAAACTTTGCTATATATTCACAAAAAATAGAAAAAAGGTAAACATGCAACAATATCAAAATAAGATTCTTAAAAGTATATGTAAAAAAAGTTGAGACAGTCACAATTGATTGAGACGTTTAATACATAATATTAAGTTAACAACTGTGAGATTATTGTCGAACGCCTTGGCTTAATATAAACGTAATTTACACCAAACGGACGATCGCAGAATTTGTCTGAGATTTTTAAAATGTGAACATTGAGTGTACTTAGTAGTGAATTTCATTTTTGAATAGCCAGTGTATTATTTAAATACATATTAAGAATGAATATGAATTTCTGAAAGTGTCGCGTTTGTGAAAGTAAATTAGCCCAATTTAAATTTTGATGTAGCGAATATTGAGAAAAACAAGAAATTGATAAATTGAAATGTACAGAAAAGATTTTGAGATAATTGGGAAATTTAGATAATGAAGGTTTTGTGATAATAGGGGTATTGAGATAATGGGAATATTGTGATAATAAGGGTATTAAGATAATGAGGATATCGGTTGCCCCATAAAGATTATTCTGGCCCTTAATGACCATAAACTCAACAAACAAACAAACAATGAGGACATTAAGACAATTAGGATATTGAGATAACGAGGATATTGAGTAAAAAGAGATAAATAAAGGTATTGAGATAATGAGGATATTGAGATAACGAGGATATCGAGATAACGAGGATATTGAGATAACGAGGATATTGAGATAACGAGGATATTGAGTAAAAAGAGATAAATAAAGGTATTGAGATCATGAAGATCTCGAGATATCGAGATAATTCGGATATTGTGTAAATGAGGATATTGAAATATTAAGAAAATGAAGTTGTAGAGATAACTAGGATATTGAAATAATGAAGATATTGAGTAAATGAGGATAATGAGATAACGAGGACCTTGACATAATAAGGATATTGAGATAGTAGGTATATTAAGATAACGTTGATATTGAAATAACGAGGATATTGATTAAATTGAATATTGAGATAGTGAGTTAATTGAGATAACGAGGATAATGAAATATCGAGGTTATTGAGTAAATTGGGATATTGAGATAGTGGGTGTAATGAATTAAGTGGGATATTGAATTAGTTGGGATATTAAAATGATGAGTATATTGAAATTATGAGAACATTGAGAATTTGGGTATATTGAGATAAAGGGTATATTGAGATAATGGGTATATTGAGATTAGGAAGATATTGAGATAAGGAGGATATTGAGATGAGGAGGATATCGCGATTAAGAGGATATTGATATTAGGATGGATATCGAGATTAGGATGATATTTAGATAATGGTTATATTGATATAATGGGGATATTGAGATAATGGGGATATTGAGATAATGGGGATATTGAGATAATGGGTATATTGCGATAATGGGGATATTGAGATAATGGGAATATTGAGATAATAGGTATATTGAGATAAAGGGTATATTAAGATAATGTGTATATTGAGTTAATGTGTATAGTAAGATAATGGGTATATTGAGATAATGGTGATATTGAGATAATGGTGATATTGAGATAATGGGTATATTGAGATAATGGGGATATTGAGATAATAGGTATATTGAGATAATGGGGATATTGAGATAATGGGGATATTGAGATAATGGGGATATCGAGATTAGGAGGATATTGAGATTAAGAGGATATTGAGATTAGGAGGATATTGAGATTAGGAGGATTTTGATATAATGGGTATTATGAGAAAATGGGTATATTGAGATAATGAGTATATTGAGATAATGGGTAAATTGAGATAATTGGTATATTGAGATAATTGGTATATTGACAAATACAGTTATTGAGATAAATTGGACATTGGCATAGTGAAGTTACGGAGAATTGCAAAATTAAGTTATTGAGATATAAGGATATTAACACAATGAAAATGTGGAAGTTTTTTTAATAAAGGTCATGTATAAAAATCATGGATAGTGAAAATTGTTGAATGGAGATATTGTTATAATGAAGATGTTGAGGTAATACAGGTATTCAGATAATGAATAGGAAATAATTTGTTGAAATATTATTATCTATGAATACAATTGTGCTTAAAAATATTTAATTAAATGTTTTGCGCTTAAAAAGTACGATGAACATGCATTTGTATCGTAAATTTCAACTAATTGATAACAGTGATGATGAAAGAAAAATTACAACGCATTATAATGAAAGAATACAACTTGCTAAGTAAATGCTAAGTTGGTGAAATAAATAATATTCCATTCGTGTTTCACATATGAGGAATATGTTGTAGGTCCACAAATAAAGAAAGAATAAATGAATTAGCCAGTGAGTGATGGAGTGAACGAATGAATGAATGAATGAATGAATGAATGAAAGAAAGGAAGAAAGAAAGAAAATAAGAATGAATGAATGAATGAAGGAAACAAAGAATGAATGAATGAATGAGTGAGTGATGGAGTGAATGAATGAATTAATGAATAAGTGAGTGATGGAGTGAATGAATGAATGAAAGAATGAATGAATGAAAGAATGAATGAATGAAAGAATGAATGAATGAAAGGAATGAAAGAATGATTGGGAGAAAATATTGAATAAAGTATTTAAGAATACGTGTACTTTTTATTATATATGATATTATATCATAAATGTATTTGTGAGAAATTATATAAGTGAGTAATGAATAAATAAATTAAGTAATTAGATTAATGAATGTATGCCTCCCTAGTCACCCATGGGTAGTCCTGTGAAGTTTTGGCTTCTTGGGTTATTTTTAACACAGAAGTATTTGATGTCAGCTCTGTTTACAAACCTAGATCAGGACTTGGCCTAATTAATGGCGTACTGTTGTCAGACCCATGCAGCAATATACAAAAGCAATGCTATGCTTGATGTTCACAATATTAATAATATTTTCAAATTTGTGCTCCTCTTAGCTTTTTCAATGTAACAAAGTGGTTAACTCTACTGGTGTGCTATCAGTCCCGAATGACGTTGTCTTGTAATTGGGACTTATTCTGACAAGGTTAAAATTAAAAACTAGTTCAAGTATCAGTTATCTGTGGTGGCTAATAGTTGTTCATCCGTTACGGTATAAAGCCTTTCCCCGTTCGCTGTTTCCCATATATACGATTAGGAACAAATTTTACATGAATTTTCATTAGTTTGGCCTTTAGTACTGATGTGTCCTAAATGGACCATACTTTGAAATAAATAAACATTATATTATATCATAATTTAGGACACGCCTGTGGATTCTGACGGATTCGGGCATAATTTAAAAATTGTTTAGTTTCGGCGATCATAAAATAGAAAATATGACCTCTATAAATAAAAATGTATATAAATTCCTTTCTACACTCAAACTGATTCAATATATTTTTTGCTTAGAAAATTACGAGAAAACATTTTTAGGGTTATTTTCCATTTCAGAGTGCGTTTGTTTGTGTCATTTTTGTGACATATATTTGGAAACTATCCCTCTAGATGTGATACAGTCTGGTGAAACGATCAATTTGTTAGTAAAATGATTTACCAGATATAAATTATAATTTAAGTTTGTTAATAGAATTGTGTGAAAATGAAATATTCTTGTCTGGCCTGGGCTGTTAACAAGTAAGGAAATTGATCGGTTTAGCTTCTTCAAAACTCCAGCTTTCTGCAGAATTAAAAGATCATCCTCTAATGATCTGTTATATATGTCGGCCATTTTCAGAGTGTCAGCGGGGAGGGCGGTTCACCATGTATGACGTAGAATAGGTGACGATGTAGACCGTTCTTACTTTTAATTCACAAACACGTTAAGATGTAACATGAATATGAAGCAAAGTTCTTCCTGACATTTTTTTTCTTTTTTTTTTTTAAAGTTTTGTCGTTACATAATAATTGTATCGCAATGACATATGTCTTGGTTGTAATAAGATATTTACACTAGAAGAGAAAACAGGCGAGAGGGTGTCATGTTCATAGTTATGTAAAATGTGTCTTATAGTCTTATACATACCAGCAGAGATGGTCGTTTTCCCTGTCAATTGTAGTTCCTCTTCCTGGAAGTCAGTGAACGTCTACATAATAAGGTCAGCGGGAAATTTCCAATAAGTAAATACTAAGTCTAGGTATCACATTGATATCCAGAGTATCGGGGATACTTTATCACAAAACTAGGCCCATTTATATCAAATGATGAAAACGAGATTATCAAAATGTTTGTTTACAATGAAGAGCTTTCATTATTATCTGAACTGTCGGCCAGCGTTAATGGAAATCCCCTTATTCTAAATTTAGACATGTTGCTCCAGGCCAATGATTCACTCCCCTGGAGAAAAAGAACATGCGTAAGTTTTGAATAAACAGCTGTATATTATAAAGAATGTTTATTGTCATGTACATAGACATATATAATAAAGAATATCAATTGTCATGTACATAGATATATATTATAAGGAATGTTTATTGTCGTGTACATATATATATATATATAATAAAGAATATTAATTGTCATGTACATAGACATATATAATAAAGAATATTAATTGTCAAGTACAAAGATATTTATTATAAAGAATTATATTGTCATGTACCTAGGTATGTATAATAAGGAATGTTTATTGTCCTGTACATAGACATATATAATAAAGAATAATAATTGTCATGTACAAAGATATATATTATAAAGAATATTAATCGTCATGAACATAGATATGTATTATAAATAATGTTTATTGCCATGTGCATAGGTATATATTATAAAGAATATTAATTGCCATGTACATAGATATATATTACAAAGAATGTTAATTGCCGTGTACAAATATATATATTATAAAGAATATTAATTGTCATGAACATAGATATATATCATAAAGAATATTAAGTGTCGTGTACATAGATATATATTATAAGGAATGTTAATTGTCATTTACATAGATATATATTATAAAAAAGGTTAATTGTCATATACATATATATGTATTATTAAGAATATTAATTGTCGTGTACATAGATATATATTTTAAAGAATATTAATTGTCGTGTAAACAGTGATTGTCTTAATATTTAATTACAATAATATAACTCATTTATATAGCGCCCTATATAATTTTGTAAAATTACTCTCAAGCGCTTAACAACATATTGACTATGGTGATAGGTATGATTGATAAACAAAAAAGGCTTAAAATCGCCATTCTCAATGTGCATATAAATAAATAAATAAAGGGTGGTATGTACGTGACTTCTGTACAAATAGCCTAAAATGCAGTCGTGGAGAAGTGGGTCGTTATATCCTCTTGGATTTGGCCAGGGTATTTTACTTTCTAATAGCAGATGGTAAGCCGTTCCCCCCGAAACCTTCCCGAAGCACCGATTTGCACAGGTCACATTAAGAAATTTAGGACACACAACAGTGATTCTGTCTCCGACCGCAGTGATCGTGACGGCTCATCTTCATCTTCATCTTAATGCCTTCCTCCGTCGATATCGACAATTACGGAAGTGCTGTTGTGCGTTAATTGTTATGTACAGTGATTGTTTTATTATTTTTATTATTTGCTATAGGATAAAAACAGGTCGATTATGTCATATGTGGTGCATGTCCTGAATTCTGCTAGTGCTTCTGATTGGATTATTGTTTTAGGTTGGAGGTTCCACTGCATTATGGTGTATGGAAAGAATGAGTGTCTGTATGTGTCTTTGGATGTGGAGATATGTCTGTAGCTAAGGTCGTGTCCTTGACGTGTTCTGGTGTCTGCCAGGATGAGATTGTTTGTTTGTATTGCTACTTGTTGATGTATCATTGTGTAGAGAAGAAAAATGCGTGTTCTTGTTCTGCGTGTGTGTAGTGTTGGCCATTGCAAATTGTGTATCATATCTGTGACTGAGCTTGTGTTATGGTATTTGTTTAGGACATATGTTGTAGGAGTTTGCATGCGATGCATGTGAGTGATATTGGTCTGTAGTTTGTTGGGTTGTATTTGTCTCCTTTTTTGTATATGGGGTTTACGTTGGCGTGTTTCCAGTCACTAGGTAATGTTCTTGTATTGAGTGATGTTTAGAATATTTTTGTTAGTATTGGTGCTGTGATATCGTTAGCTTCTTTTAGTATTCTGCAGTGTATATGGTCTGGGCCTGTTGCTTTGTGTGTGTTAATGTTATTTAGTAGTTCGTCGACTCCTTGACATGTGATGTGTATATCTGGCATGGGTGGATGAGGTGATATTCCTTTGTCAGGTATTGTTGTGTTTTGTTCTGGTGTGAAGGCTTCTTGGAACTGTTCATTTAGTATGCTTGCCTTTGTTTCTGGGTCTGTTGTGAGGTGGCCGTTTTTACGTAGTGCTATGATGTCTGTTGTTTTTTGGTGGTTTTTTTGTGGTTTTGATGAACGAGAAGAGTTTTTTTAGGGTTTTATTTGTTCCTTGTGCTGGGGTCTTCAGGTTCGCGTGTTGGTAGGTCTGCAATCATCTTCTCATTGTGTTGTAGTTATACATTGCGGGTATGTTTTCGCATTTCAGCTTTAACTGTTTTGTATGTGTGGATAAGGTTGTGGTTTGTCCTTGATTTGTGGTGGAGGCGTTTAGACTTGTTTGAGAGGCGGCGAAGTGAGTTGTTCATCCATGGTAGTCTGTGTTTGTATGTTAGTGATCTTATTGGAATGTTTTTTTCCCTGTATTTGTATGGAGCGTTGTTTTGAAACTTACCCAAAGGTGTGTTTTGATGTTCTAGGTCCTGTAAGTTGTTATTTAGATTAGTGAGGTCTTTTCTGATGTTGTCCCAGTTTGCTTTGTTATATAGGTTCATGTTCCTATGTGGTTTGCTTGTTTTTTGTAGTCTAATGTCTGCTTCTGTATATATGATGTCGTGATCTTCCTTGCCTATCGGTGGGACTATTTCTATTTATTGATGATGGATGTACGATTTGTGAGTGTTAGGGCAAGGATGTGTTCTCCTCTTGTGGTTTGTCTATGGTTTGGGTGAGGGAGTTGTCGTCGATGATGTCTAGTAGGCGTGGTGATGTAGGGTTGTGTCTGGTTTGCCTGGTGTTGTGGTGTTGTTTGACCAATCTATGTGTGGGAGGTTAAAGTCTCCGCTTATAAATGTATTTGTGTTGTTCTGTTTTCCTATTCTGTTCAGTGATATTTCGAGTTCTGCGAGTGAATGTCCTTTATGATCCATATAAATATAAGTCACTATTTAGGTTGCTAGCATGATTTCGTAGCTGACAAATTATGATATTGAATTTTCTTGGCCCATAGTATATTTAAATGTGCTGGCAATTTCTTTAGCGTTGTTCATATTACCAGACTTGATGATTTATTTTTAAATTATTGAAGGGAAGTAGCATTTAAAGTTTCTGTAGATAGAGGGTTAAATTCTCTTCATGTTGAGCGAAAATAACTATTGAAATAATTTTCAGTTCTACAGAAAGAGAGATTGAAAATACGGCTAGTTCTTAGTGGGTATCTTACATTTATATTGCTGTGAAGGTATGGTTCAATGATGTCTTCTAAGTGCTTAGGCGATTCATTATTTAAAATTTTAAACATAAGTACTAATTTATGATTTTTTCGCCTACAACAAAGTGATTCCAGTCCAGTTTTTGCATAAAGCTTACAATGAGAGGTCCCTCTACGCAATCCTGTAATCATTTTTAATGCCTCTAGCTTGATTGACTCAAGAATATTTTTATTTTGGTTACTACAGTTATCCCATACTACATCCACATATTCCAGTATTGGTCTAATGAAACAGGTATATTTTGTTGTGAGCCTTTTTCTATCCAATTTGTGTTTTAACATTCTCAATATATTCATTCTTCTATAAGCTAGCTCATAAATATTGTCAATATGTTATGTCCATTTTCCATCACTACTAAAAGTTAAACAAGATGCTTATGAGTTTGTTTATTAATTACAGTTTCATTACCAAATGAGATATCTGGATGATTTTGTTCCTTTTTCCTCGAGAAGATTACAGATTCAGTTTTTAGTGAATTAAATTTGATATCCCATTTTTTGCCCGTGCATTAATATAACCTAGATCATTGGTTAATTTCACTGCAATTTCATTTTGATTGTTGTCTATTACTTCATAGAGAGAAGTATCATCTACACAAATATGGATATTGATTGTATCATCCTTGTACGTGTTCTCAATTTTGAGTTCGAGTTATGATTTTGTTGACACTTCTGTAATTTGTTGCTGTTTTATAAAACGCCATGATTGCTTGCAAGAGGCACTAGACTTGCTTGATAGTAAAGATATTCCTTCTCCTTTCATATCACACAAGGAAAAAGCAAATGTCCTAACGACATACTTGTGGTGAACGTAAAACTACCTTTAGTCGTCATCATCTGTCATCTTTGGAAACCCTGTGTTGAAATGTGGTCCGTCAACAATCTGTCATGGAAATCAGTAAACTGTGCCCCTCGACTTGTTTATATTTTCACATGAGTCTGAATTTAATTATTTCGTATTTTACTATCCTTATGACGTGCTGTATTTAAATATCAAAAAAAGTGATCACGTCAATCGTATATCTTCCTCAGCTTGAAACCAATGGCACTACAGATTCTTCTACTCCCGCTGCTGTCCTCAATCTATACTTACAACATAACCAATAGGGTCGGCTTACTCCTAATTATATAAGCTGTACAATAAGCGGGACGATTTTGATTTTTCGTCGTGGATTTTCTCTTTCTTCATGGTAGCCTCGCTGCTTCCCCTACCTACGGTGTTTACATGTCGTAGTTGATTCGGTATCCTGGCGCTTGTCCTGAATGTCATGATTTCCTCGATAGACTCGACTGCGGACGAACAAAATTACAACGCATATTGACTTTCTCTACCCTCTCTCTTCTAGAAGCAAGTTATAGATCTGCCTATATCGGCGTCTGCAGTCTAGACAAAGAGTACTTTTACCTCAAATTTATCAAACATTTGTGAATGCTTAGTAGGCCACTTGTTCTGCAGTGTTGCGTTTCAGTATTGTGGCTTATGTTTCTTTTGAACTATGACTTACCATGACTTTGCAGACGTGACATCACTTAAATTCAAGATCCCGGGGCCGGAAGTGAGCGCCTAAACGTCGAGGATGAGGGGGATTAGACACAGTGCCCTCCTTCTTTCCGTCAGGCATTATAATCCCACTGTGATTTTGGTGACGCCGCTCACGCGCACGTGAGGTCATCTAGCAGGGAATTTTTCGTCCTGTGTCACAATTTCTTCTTCCTTTTCCTCATCACCACTACAGCTTTTAAATCGTGTCATGTTTCTTATTGACTAGAGAACCT